TTAATTAAATAAATATAGATATTAAATGATTTCCATAATTATATGTATATTAAATGATATCCATAATTATACTTCTCTTTTTATGGAAATTAATTAAATCTGTCATTAATGTTAGCAATAACATTCTTTCAGAATGAATTCGCATATAGGTTTTTATATATGAGTTCGTATTTTGTTTCAGGACTCACTCACTTAAAATACAATAAAGTTGCATGGAATATGAAGAACGAGAGTGTATTCTACTAGAATACACTCTCATTCTGCTGGAATACACTCTCATTCTTCTAGATATGAATTTATTCTGAAAGAATATTATTGTTCACATTAATGACGAATTTAATTGGTTTCCATTAAAATGAGCTATAAGTATGGATAGCATTTAATATACATATAATTAATACTAAAATCATATTGGTGCATTCTAGCACACAATAGATGTGAGAAACATTTGAACCTACCTCTCTCTCTCTCTCTCTCTCTCTCTCTATATATATATATATATATATATATATATATATATATTATATATATATATTAGTTTACATGTATTATAAGGATATACATGTAATTTGAAATTTTATAAAGATATAGAAGTAATTATGAAAATTTATAAAGATATAGATGGAATTCTCAATTTCTATTAAGTGGAAAGATAATATAAAAAAGTGAAAATATCTCCCTAAAAAAATACTCACCAATGTTACCAAACTCACATATATTTGCATTTTTTGATACCTAGAATGTGAGATCCAGTAAACACGATTAAACCACTGTCCACTAAATATTTAAAATGAGTTGAAATCGGAAATTTCCGGTTACTCGGATGAGCTTGCTTTAAATGGATATTAAATATGCATCTTCGAAGTTATTATAGTTAGGATCATCCTCCTAATAAATAAAGAAATTTTTGTCATATGTCACACTCTCATTGATTTTGCCACATGTCGTTTTGTAGTTATTTTCAATTAAATTTTACCACATGACATTTTATGGTTGTTTTATTTTTATCAGTGTTGCAAAAATCGGCCTAGGCGGCCGATTAATCGGCGCCTAGGCGCTTGGTGGTCCTCGACTGATGACGATTATAGCTAATCGGCCTCTCTAATCGGACGTGGTCAAAATCGGTCAAAGCCGGAGATTATCGGAGCTAGGCGGGTCTAGGCGCTCTAGTCGGTCAACGCTGGTCAACGAAACTTAAAAACTTTCAGGGGCTAAATTGTCAAAATGTAAAAATTGATGGTAGGGTTCCTTTCGATTACCCCATTCCATCGCATTCGTTTTTTTTTCGTTTGAAATTCTCTCTGTCGGACTCAAGGAAGGAAAGAACGAACGCCGTCATGGTCTTCTCCATTCACGGTGTCAACATCTTATTCTCCGTCCACCACGCCGCCATCTTCCTCGTCTGAAATTCGTCTGAAGCACATCGGTAACGTTTGAAGTTCGTCGTCTTCTGATGAAGCTTCTGTGTGAGGCTCTGACGCCTTCTGTTCCTCGTCTGTCGTTTTCTGTTCATCCTCCGACTTCTCCTTCAAGTTAGTCTCCAGTCTCCACTTCTCATTCTTCTATTTGCTATTCGAATTGCAATTTCTAGAAATTATTTGGGGAAGAAAACGGGTTTAACCAATTTCTAGAATTTGTTTAAGCATTTTTTGAACCTAATCTGTTTCCGGTTCAAGTTTCCAACTCTAATCTCTGTTGTGTTATATACCAACTATTAAGTGATATTTCTTGAAATTTTAGGCTTTGTGGATGCGTCGAGAGGGTGTTGTGGAACAGGAAGAGTGGAGACGACGGTGTTCATATGTAAACCTAAATCGATTGGGACATGTTCCAACGCGTCTCAGTATGTGTTCTAGGATAGTTTTCATCCATCTGAAGCTGCTAATCAAGGTTGCAGGGTAACTATTACTTATGTTTATCTGTATGTCTAAATTAAAATCATCGATAACAACTTTTATTCAAAAATTCCATATTCAATTACAGGTATTTGTTTCTATTCGTTCCATGATTTAGTAGAAGAATTTAGAGTTCAGACTTCGGATCTTGTAAAGCAAAATTGCCATTGTTGGAGCTTGTTAATCGAGTTTCATTTACTAGATGATCATAGGGGAAATCGAGTTTCCAAATGGCATACCTGGGTGATGAGTTTTGTGATGTGTGGTGTGTTTCATGGGAGCTGGAAGTCTCTTTTGAGTTTTGTTTTCATGAGACATGTATATTATTAGTTTAGTCAGTGGGATATCTTAACAATGGTCAATTTTATTCATATGTTTTGGGTTTGTAATGAAATAACTTAACTAGCATGCCAAGTGTTTGAGTAAATGCTTAAGAGAAGAAAGTTACAAATTGAAAAGAAAAATAAATTATGTATTATATATTTATTATTTGTTAACTTATTTATTTATATTCTTAGGATAAATGTTATATTTATTAAATTTTAATACTATTTTTTAATAATTAATGGTACCCGATTAATCCCCGCCTAACCGATTAATCCCTTGACCCCAGTCCACCGCCGAGCTACCGCCAAGCGATTTCTGCAACCTTGATTTTTATTAAATTTCACATAATATTTAATTAAATTTATTAATTGTAATAAATATAATAATAAATGTATTTCAATTTCATTAATTGACTTTCCTTCTAATTTCAAAATTTCTAAATTAAAGCCCATTAATTTTTTTTGTTTATTTATCTCAATTAGTTGTTTAAATCTAAAAGAGAAAAAACACTTTAATTTTAATAATTCAATATTTTTCTAATTTTTTTTATAAATTCAAATTTCTCAAATGTTTAGAATTTTATATTTATTTTTTTTGAATGAACCCATATAAGACATGAGTGTTACACCTACTAGTATTACCATAAAACGTTTTGTGAAATCATTAATCACTTTATTATACATGTAGACTTGAAAACCAATTTTAATGTAATAAGTTTTGCTTGCATCTCAAATTTGGTTATTTAAATATTATAAAATTAAATACGTTTACAAAATTAAACAGCAGGATTGTGAAGTTGGTCTGCAACGCTGTCGTTGATGTGTAGATGGGTATGGGCTTGTGGAAATGTTAAAAACCAGCCCAATAAAGGTGCAACTTGATAAAAAAAATATTTAAAATTGAAAATTGATCCAAAAGATAAAACTGGATTAAAATAAAACCGTTTGTTTAGGGTGCATTTGGCCCAGATTTAATCTGGTTTGGAAAAAACCGTTTTTTTTTTTTAATTACCGTCAAAACTAAAAAAAGTATATTTCAAACGGCTATATACCCCTTCTAGTCCAACATAGTTTAGTTCCCAATCACGATCAAATATATTGTTGAGAAAATCTGTACTATTCACTTTTTTTGAATGAAAGATGATTTTACCACTTAACAAATTTATTTATTCACATTAGATACAACAACTATATATATATATATATATATATATATATATATATATATCCCCTATTCTAATAAATAGGTAGAAATTGTCCACGTGTCAGTCAAATAGTCACCCCCCATTCGATTTTTCCCACTCTTTGTCATAATGTTAATTTCCGATATTGCCCTTCAAGTAACCAATCGATGCCTAAAAATCTGGACGTGAAATTGACTTTTTTCTGCAACATTAAAAAAAATGGAAAGTAAATAATCAATATTTAATTTCAAAAGATAAACGTATCTTTTGAATATATGATGCTTATCAATTCCTAAAAACCCGTCAGTTACCTAATCGATTAATCTTAAATACATGTTCACGGTTATTTTCATTCACAGAGATTCCAAAATTTAGAGAAGAAGAAAAATTTCTTGAATATCTTCAAGTCGTCTACTGTTTTTGCTTTAAGGTATGCTTTTAAAATTGATGTGTTGTTATTATTATTCATTGTTTTTTTCTTTAAGTCGACTTCTATCTTCTTCTTTCTCGATCGATTTGTCATTGTTATCAACCCGTTCGTTTATCTGTCACGTTGTGTGTGTATGATCTATGTATCTGCTTCATTATTATCGATATATACTTTTGTATCTGCTTCATTACTATTAATCTATCTAATTCTATTTGTCATTGTTATCAATCCGTTTTTGTATCTCTTACGTTGTGTATCTCTTACTGTAAGTTGTATCTATCATCAACAGCAACAATGAACAGGAGCATCATCTGTGTGATAAAAAGTTATAACTTAGGGATTTTTTTTTTAAATTTACATGGACAATTTCTGTATGTTAGTGTAGTGAGGACCTCTTTTGTAAATGTACAAAAAATGATGCTATAATTGTCAAAACTGAACATATAAAATGAAAGTTTGCTGCTATAAATAATACACATAAATAAAAACTATATATGATGGTGCTATAATTTCAAAGTACATTCTTATAATTTGTAAAACTTCATAAATATAGCATGATACATATATTTTCTTTTATGAATATCATCCTACTTTCATAGATATATAGTATATATTTTGTTTTATAAATCAAGTAGGATCACACTTTCAAAGGGTAAAACTGTAATTTTACCCTTCATATATATCTACCAACTTTATAAAAAATAATAATATACTACTATATTTTTACAAATATACCGAATTATAATTGTTTAGATTACTTCAAGTTTTATTCTGTTGCAACAACTTTATTTATGTGTCTTTGTTTACTTTGACTGCATTATTTTAACTAAAATTCAATAGTTTTTGTACATTGTACAAACAAATGGACGGTAGTAACATTACTTTCATAAGATGATATGACCCTGCTCATATATGTATCACCTCATAAATAACATAAATGACCGTTTTGCCCATGCTCATATAAAATTGATATTAATTTAAATATGTTAGCTTTCTTCACTGTGACTGCCTAATTGTTTTCATACAAAATTGATATTAATATAAATATGTATGTTTTGTTAACAATCACTCCTTAATTGTTTATTTTCTTCACTGCTCAACCGTTTTGCCCATGGTCATATTAAATTGTTTTTAACTTAAATATGCTATGAATAATTTGCAGGAAATGAATATCGGCAGTAAAATATACCTAAAAGACATTGAACATATCACTGATGATTCACATCTCAAAGTACGGGTGTTAAAGATTTGGAATTTTATAAAAAATAACCAAGTTTTATCAATTGAAATGATCATCATGGACGAGGAGGTTAGTTAAATTTTTTTAAAACCACTAAATATTTCATATGTTTCAATGAATAATTTTTTTATTTCTTTTATCAGGCTACCAAATACCAATCACGTGTGTTCAGCCAAAATTTTTCCAGATTTCGTGACCTTATAAAGGAAGGTGAAAGTTATATCATTTTAAAACCAAACATGGCGGCTGTTAAAAATGGTTTTAGTGTTACCGGTCAGAGACAGACAATAACTTTGGATTGTAAAAGTATTGTAAAAAAATGTGATGATTTTTCGGGTCCAGTTAATGGTTTTGTGTTTGCTGATTTTAACTCTATCATCGAACAGAAATGCACAAGAGACTCATTCTTTGGTTAGTTGTTTTATTTTATTCCATTGACTTTTATAACTTGTGTAATTTATTATAAATTAAAGTATGTTATTATTTACCTTAATCTTATATACTATTTTTTATAAAAATTATTATGTAGATGTTATTGGGCAAATTGTCTCATTTAGGTCTCTTGAGACAACCAATCCTAACCCATCAAGACGTTACATAAAGATGACTATTACCAACTTACAGTAAGCTGATATTTATTTCATTTATTTATTATTTTGAATCTTGTTTTTTCATACTAATTAAATTAATTTTATATTTAGGTCTGTACACCTCAATGTCACTATATTTGGAAGTCAGGCACACCAAATGTCATAGTACCTGAAAAGCAACACCACGGTTACTTGTGTTGTTATAGTGATGCAGTTTGTCAAACTTAACGTTTGGAATGGTTTGTAGAGATGTGACCTAATCTGTTTTCGATATTTCTTTTATTCACTTATCTGTTTTTACAGGAATTGGTCAAGCTCAAAGTCACTTCGATGTAACGAAGATGTTCATTAATTCTGACATCGTGGAAATTAATCACTTTAAGAAAGAGTTAGTTTTTTCATTTTCAATTAAACATATTTATCTTATTATTATTATTTAAATTAATACAATTTCTTATATTTACAAATATTTAATAATATAATTTTTTAACATTATAGGTTGAAAGCAGATAACAATGGTGGTATGTTGGAAAAAAGCATAACTACACTTCCAAGCTACTCTTCTTCTTATATGGATGATTTCAAAGGGAATTTCCCTTTAAAAACTGTTTGTGAAATCACAGAACCACTAAAGGTATATTTTATTGAGTTTATATCTTTAAACTTTATTTAAACATTTTTTTATTTAATTTAACAGAGGTTTTTTGAAATAGGAAATGAAATTTCTATTAGTTGGTTCAATTGTGAATATAAGACAAAATCTACCTTGGTATTACGAAGCGTGTTACAAATGTGGAAGCAGGGTAAACAATGTGCCCAAAACCAATCTTTCCTATACCGCCCCCGACAAGATGGAAGATAGTGTTGTTATTAAGTGTAAAAATGCAGCTTGCAACGATTCGAATTTTCATACTGTTATCAAGTACACACATATCTATTTATATTAATTAATCATTTCAATTTTTCATCAAAATAACTATTAATCTAATTTTTTTTAGGTATATAATTCCAATCAATGTACAAGATCATACTGGCACCATTGGACTAACTCTTTTTGATAGAGAAGCAAAAAGGCTGTTGGATATAAGTGCATTCGAGTTGAAAAAAATACATGAAGCGGTATAATATTTTTTTCATATTTTTTATCATATACAAAATTTTATTAGAATTAACATATTCAACAATATTCTAACAGGCCGGTGACAGTTTGCACCTATTTCCAAATCAAATAAACGATTTGAAAAACAGGAAGTTTGCCTTTCTTGTGGATATTACATCATACAATGTGATCAACTATAACAATATCTACACCGTTGTCAAACTTACAAAGATGTCTCCATTGTTTCGGACTTGGAAAGTAAACTAGAAGTTATGGTACATAATGTTTAAATGTTCAACATTTATATTTGTTTTTTATTTACATACAAAACATTTTACATATTAACATTTTATTTTGTAGAGTGTTCAATCAGTCTCCTTAAATGAAGTACCACTGCAATCAGATGATGTTGTTCAAACTGTTGAAAAGGTATTTTATATTAAAGTAATGACTTTTATATTTAATGATTCCAATTGTCAACTTATGTATTTTTAATTCAGGATGTCATATCACAAACAGATGAGAGTTTTACTCCCGCAACAGTTGATAAATCATCGGCAACAAGTCCAATGAAAATATCAACTGATTTGAAGCGCAGCCTCCATGACATTTATGATGTTGATAGTGGAATTGATTTCAGTTCAACTAAATCCAAAAGAAAATCAATGGGAGATGGAAATCCACTTTTAGTTCCAAAAGTGGAAAAGTGATTTTATTTTGGTTTAACAAACAAAATAATTTGGTTCGTGTTGGTTAAGTTTTAAATAATGTTTGGTGATTTGGTACAATGGTTGTTAGAAATTTAGGAACTTAGGTAACAAATTTTAAGGCTATGGTTCGTTTTAATTTTTTGGATTTTGGTTGATTTACATTAATATCCTGCTTTTAATATTAAGATTTTTGTTATCTAGATGTTATATTTAATAACTTAGTACATCATTTTTTCATTAGGTACACCATTCATTTTTTCAGTCATTCGTTATCACATAAATGATTCATTTAGGTCAAATAGCCATATATTCATTATAACATTATGCACATTCGGTTAAAAATATTAATTTCCCTAAAAAACTTGTGATATATAACCAATTAAAGCTAAATAGATAAGAGGGGAAAAAGGGTACCTCTAAATGGTTTGGGATATATAACCAATTCTGTGAAAGTAGATGATTTGGGGTCGCATTAATGGTTTTTGAGTACATTCTCCTTGGGGCAAACCTGTAATGCATCAAAGAGCTAATAAGCTCTAACTTACAATTTAGACATTTAAAATAAATGAAAATATTTTGACAATATATACCTGGGGCTTGACTTCAACAATAAATTGACCACTTTTGACAGCAACGGGCTATTTGCCAAGACTCTTTAGTTTATAGGCTGCAGATTGTGGTATACAGTTGTAAGAGCTAAAGGATGCTTTGACCCAACCAATTTTACTCTTAGATCATAAGATTGTCGCCATTTTCTTCCATCAACAAGGATAAAAGGAACCTATACAACAAAATTATCAGATTGTACCAACATATTGAGAAATTCACAGGATAAAATAAGATTTAACAGCCTGTAACACATTCGTTAAATAGTCATATAATCTTATGTTAGACCATGAACATACTGATGGATGGATTATGGATATAGTAGTCACCAATTGTATATACATACAAACTAAAGTGGCTTTTAGATTTAACATGAACTGAGCTATACATACAAACCTAACCAAACATACAATAATGGATTACTACATCATAAGGAGTTCTATGTCTTTCAATTGCATAAGTTTATTAATCAAATCCATAATCCCAAAAAGCATGCAATTACCTCCATTAAAGTCACTGGTTGATTTTGAATCACGGACAAAGAAATTTTCCATTTTAAAATAAATCTCTGCATTAAAAAATTAATAAATCAGGAATATTCATATATTGATTTCTAAGTCAAAGATATCAATATATGATAATTTTCGTTTATGTCACTGATTGTTTCCTAATTTTTTGTAATCAATTATTAAATCCAGATCCTATATTAAAATTAAATTCATTTCTAATGTAGTAAATCCAATAAAATCGGTAACTCAATATTATCCAATATAATATCAACAACAATAATTCCATAAAATCAAGATTATATTTTGAAAAATATTAAAAAAATTATTTTATATCTATAAATATACCTCAGAACGATAACATATAATTTTTAAATTCCCGATTCGTCTTCTTTTTCTTTCAATTGCATCTAAGACTCTTCTTTCGGGAAATTTACATCAAGATTTGGAATACAAGTTCTATTCCACATTCTGAAGAAGACGTAAACTGCTTTTGATTTAAAAGTCTCTTAATTCCTGGAAGATTTTCTTATTCACATCAGGTTAGTGTTTTGAAATTATATTAAAATGGTATATGTATGTGTGTTCAAATTACATTACAACGTTTTTGTATCTCTTCATCTCTAACAATATATACAAATCCTCAACCAAAATGTTTTACCTGTTGTTAAACTCAATAAAATAAACCATAAATTATTCAAAATATCAATTAGATTTCAACAGACATTGATTCCTGTAATAAAATTTCTCGATCAAATACACCTTAGCTGCTTCAAACATGAAACAATTAACTTAAAACCTCTGTTGTAAAACATTAATATGGAAAACATGAACCTACATCGGGTTATAAGTTATATATAACCTGGATTACTTGAAACTGAATCTTATTCGATCAATTATTCAAGGAACGAAAAGGGAATTTTGGGGGTTAATCTTAGATTGACAAACCTGATAATCCAGTATTTGACAGACTATATGCAAACTCCTCTTTCGCCTTGAAGCAGCCTTCACATGTCGGAAACTAAATGCAACCCGTAGTTGTTATCGATTCCACACTGAGACAATGTTATCAGGTTTCCATCGAGAACTAGGGTTTTACCCTCTAGGATCATCCGAATGAACAATTGTGTGAGATTGGGGAAAGAACAAATGGAACTTGAAGAAGCCCTAATTTTGAAATGAGGATGATGAGTGGTAATTTCCATTCGCAAGGAATTGATGTCGGCAGTGGAAGAAGAAGACTCGGTGTGAGGATTGATTTTCTTTTCTCAACTGATGGAGACTATGTCGCACAAGCAGCGGTCATCGTCGATGAAATCTTCCCATTCCGTTTGATGCGTTGTTGAACCCAATCGATTGTGCCGGAATCGAGGGCAGTGACCGATGGTTAACCGGTGACGAAGTGGGTTGTAGTTTTTTTGGTAGCAATACACATAGAGAGAGAATGATAGAGAGACGGAGTAATGAAGAAGATGGCGACATATAGAGTTGGTTGTAAAAAGTATTGCCATTTCATGAAATCTGGAAGAGAGATCAAGGCTCTTGGAACTCAGTTGGAGAAGACGAATATTGTTTGCCTGGGCTAGCAAGGTAGAAGATAAAGATGCATCTTCTTCTTTGAAATCTGAAAAATCGGGTAAAACTGCCATTGAGATGCGTACAGCTGCTTGGGAGGATGCTGAGAAAACGTAGTAATGAAGAAGACGTTGTCAAATAGAGTTGGTGAGGACAGTATTGCCATTTCTTGACCTAAGTAATTAATTAATTAATCAACAACATTGTTATGAACCTTTTAAAGTGGTACATTTTGGTTGCTAATAGGTTCGAATATGAGCTTTTATTTTAACTGTAATGCAGAATAAAATGCCTCCCAATGACATCCAGTAATGTGTAAAATGTTAGAAATTGAATCACAACATATGTATTTATAAGGCCTTAAATAATCCCATATCCTAATACTAATAAATAAAAAAATAAATTTTATAAATAAATAAAGAAATAAGTATAAAATTGCAACCAGACATTTGCTTAGACCCTATACAATCTTTAAATGTCTAACTGAAAAATCAGAATTGCCCTTTTGTTACTATTCGACTCTATAGTTTTGAAATACAACCTATTCAATTGACATACTTTTTATAAATAAATAATACATTAATAAACTAATTTATAATTTATATGTACATTTTAATAAACAATTTCAAAAAAACGACACAATTAAATTGTATTGTTTTTCCAACTACTTACCAAGAATACTTAAAAATGACAAAACATTGGCTTTATACCCATTTCTTCGCTAGATAATTATTATATGAACTACTTAATTCTTATTTGTTAAGCATGTTAATTTATAACTAATTTTATTTATCTTAACTATGAATGTTGCAGACATATAATGCATTCACTTTCTTCTAAAAAGTCTATAAAGGTAAATAGTTTCTATTTAGATAATACAAAAAAATAAAAATTTGGGTACTACATCAACAAATCTAGCCTCAACAACTACTACTGTTAAAACTTCGATTTACAAAGGTAAGTTTTTTCATATACAAGTTCTATTATTGTTATTTATTATTTTTTAATTCACATAATATTTATTTGAATAACATAAATATTTATCAACATAAAAAAATAGATAATTTGTCAAAATCTTCGTCCGCTGCAACTCAATATTCTTCGAAATTGGTAACCGATGCTTACAAAGGTACGTTTATTTATTCAACATTATTTTATAAACATATTATTTACGTAATTATACATTTCATATCCTGTCATATTATATGTTATGCAGAAAACAACAATAACATGTGCCACTTGCAAGCCAAAGAGAAAAGAAGACAGAGAAAAATATATTTGCAAAATAAAAGATCGAAGAAAATGAATACAACATCCAACGTTCCAAGTACATCAATACCTCATCTCTTAAAAAATATAATTAATTATAATCCTATTATTTTTTTATTCAATGTTTTATGCTTATTTTACATTTATTTACAATAAATGATTTCTCATATTTTTTTAATTATCTTGTAATATTATATGATTGCAGGTTATTATTATGTTGTATACATATCTCTTTAGTTTTCATAAATTTTTGTTATTTGCAGATCAATCAACCAACATTGTTGATCAAACTCAAAATGTCAGTTCATTTAATTCACCAGGAATCCAAAATACAACCGTACAATACTCTCTTTCCTTTACAAATGTTAGAACTCCGTTATCTAACATTACAAATGTTAGAACTCCGTTATCTAACATTACAAATGGTAATAATTTATTGTTTTTAAAATATACAATTATTAATTTTCTTTATAATCCGGATATAAGTATATATACTTATTTCATTTTTTTTGTTCAGATAACATCGGTTTCGGTAAATATGTCACTTCCAACTTACCAGATAAAAGACAGTACTATGTACTTTCAAATGATATGACATCGAAAAATGCATCTACAATAACTGCTTCTTCATCTTCAATCAAGTTGAATCCAGGATGTCATAAATTAAAAAGGAAGACGACACATTTATCCCCTATCCCTTTGATTGATTTGACAGATAATGTAGAAAATATACATCAAGTCATAAATGAAAACGTTATAGTTGGTATCTCAAATGGTAATAAAAAAATAATATTCATTTTCATTTTTTTTACATTTCAAATACTACGTTGTATATACTTATAAATTTCACTGATATTTTTTTCATCGCCTTTTAATTTACAGAATATTTGGATCATGGTGATCAAAATGTTGTATGTCAAACATGTCATGCAAAGTTATGGAGAAATGAATCCATTAGAGGTAAAGAAAAAGGGAACACAAATTATTCTTTATGTTGTGGTTACGGCAAAGTTCAAATTCCAGATTTAAAGAAAGCACCCCCAAGTTACGAAAGAATGTTTCGAAATGGGGATTCTAAAAGCAAACACTTCATGAAAAACATTAGACGTTACAATTCAATGTTTTCTTTTACGTCGATGGGTGGTAAAATTGATACTTCAATCAATAGAGGAAACGCTCCATACATTTTCAGACTGGGTGGTCAAAATTATCATAGTATTGGAAGCCTTTTACCAGCAAAAGGATCGGAACCAAAATTCTCTCAGTTATACATTTATGATACTGAGAACGAAATTTCAAATAGACAAAGATGCATTGGGTATTTTTTTCATCCTTCTTATTCATAATTATTCATTATACACACACACACACACACATATATATATATATATATATATATATATATATATATATATATATATACTAATATTATGTATAATTTCATTTATTTTAGTGGGGTAAAAGATCAATCAAAGTCAATTGATAGTGATATTATTGAAGATATAAAGGTGATGTTGGATTCAAATAATGTGTTGGTTAGATCTTATAGGATGGCAAGAGATACTTTTCAGAAAAACCCTCAAGTTGATATGAAACTACGACTTATCGGGAGAAGGCAGCGAGATGGAAGAACATATAACCTACCGACTGCTTCAGAGGTTGCCGCTTTAATTGTCGGGGACATTTGTGATTCAATTGAAAAGAGGGATATTGTTGTTGAAACAAAAACTGGATTTCTACAACGTATCAGTGAATTGCATCCTTCATACCTTCCTCTTCAATATCCACTGCTATTTCCATATGGAGATGATGGTTACAGTGTTGACATTCTTCATAGAGGTGTTTCATTTACAACCAACAGCAAGCGGGCGAAATGTACAATGAGAGAATATTTCGCTTTTAGAATTCAAGATAGAGATCATTCGTTCTCCCTCATTCTTAATTCAAAAGCTTGTTTCAGCAGTTTCTGGTAGATGCCTATACTATGATGGAAACGGAGAGATTGCATTACATACGTAGGCAACAACATGTTCTTAGATGTGAGTCTTATGAAAATTTACGTAACCAAAAAGCTCAAGGAACAACGAATATCTCCAATGTCGGACAACGTGTCATATTACCTTCATCCTTTACTGGTGGCGCACGATATATGCTGCAAAACTATTTGGATGCCATGTCACTATGTAAATGGTTTGGATATCCAGATTTTTTCATAACCTTTATGTGTAATCCAAAATGGCGAGAGATTAAAAGATTTCTTAAGGATACTTCACTTCAACCAGAAGACAGACCTGATATATTATGTAGGTTGTTCAAGATCAAGCTCGATGCATTTATTAAAGATTTAAGGGAGAATAAAATTTTCGGCACAGTTCAAGCATGTAATTAAAATTATATTTTTTTCATTATTGATAAAACATTACTCTTATTATAGTATATTTTTTATATGTTTTTATTGTCTAATCATATTTTGTTTTTTTGCCAAATATTTTGCAGATGTTTATACCATTGAATTTCAAAAGAGAGGTTTGCCGCATAGTCATATATGTTTATTTATGCATTCTGACATCAAGTTACCCATTGTTGAATTTATCGATCCGATAATTTCTGCTGAGATACCAGACAAAATTGAAGATCCGGAATTGTATTCACTTGTCAATGAGTTCATGATTCATGGTCCATGTGGAGCTGAAAATATCAATTGTCCATGCATGGTGGATAAAAAGTGCTCAAAAAACTTTCCAAAACAATTCTGTGATCATTCGTCTGTTGATGGAAATGGTTTTCCGTTATATAGGAGAAGAAACGATGGTCATTTTGTAGAAAAATCGGGTGTGAAGTTGGATAATAGAAATGTTGTTCCATACAACAAATATATATTAAAAAGATATCAGGCACATATTAATGTTGAATGGTGCAATCAAGGATCTTCTATAAAGTATCTGTTCAAATACATAAACAAGGGTCCTGATAGAGCTACGGTTGCTGTTGTACCAACAACACAATGAATGTGAAAATAATGATGTGGTCGATGAAATAGTTGAATATTAAGATTGTAGATATTTATCTGCATGTGAAGCATCATGGCGAATTTTTAAATACGATGTTCATTGCAGGTATCCTTCTGTTATCAGACTACCTTTTCATCTACCTAATCAACAACAGATTGTATATGGCGAAGACGATGATATTGATGATGTTCTTGACAAACCTTCTGTTGCGGCTTCAAAGTTCACATCTTGGATGGAGTGTAATGCAATCGACAGTGAAGCACGAAAACTTACATATGCTGAATTTCCTACAAAGTTTGTTTGGATATTAAATGGTCGGTTTTGGAAGCGAAGGAAAGTAGGAAAAGCCATCGGTAGAATTCATTCGGTTTCACCTAAACTAGGTGAAGCATATTTCTTAAGGATTCTTTTAAATAAAGTAAAAGGTCCGACATCATTTGATGAAATTCTCACGGTAAATGGTCAAAGACATTCTTCTTTTAGAGACGCTTGTTATGCACTCGGGCTATTAGATGATGACAAGGAATACATTGATGCAATTAAAGAAGCAAGTCATTCTGGATCTGGTTTTTATCTACGCTTCTTATTTGCTACATTGTTGATGTGTAATAGTATGTCTAAACTAGAGGTCGTTTGGGAAAATACATGGGAATATTTGGCAGATGGAATTCTATATAACCAACGACAAAGATTTAAGTCTGCAGGTATTACATTTTTTTTCTTATTTTTTACTTTATTTAATTTCTTTTTTTTTATTCAACAGCCATTGTATAATTAGTAATAAAATTATTAAATATCGACCACATATTTTCTAAATTATTTAATATTTTCGTGCAGAATTGTCACTCGGAGTAGATGAACTTAAAAACTTAACTTTGTTCGAAATAGAACAAATTTTACTTCGAAACAACTCTACTCTCAAAAACTTCAAAAATATGTCATACCCAGATGTTGAATCCGTTTCTTCTTCAAACAATCGACTAATCACCGAGGAGCTAGATTACGACATTCCCGTTTTAAAGAATGATTATGGTCGTATGTTTCTTGCATTAACAAATGAGCAACGTAACATTTTCCTAAACATCATGAGTGCTATTCAAGAAAATAAAGGAGGTGTCTTTTCGTTTACGGTTATGGTGGAACGGGTAAAACTTTTTTATGGAATACAATATCAGCAGCAATTAGATCTGATGGTAATATTGTCTTAAATGTTGCTTCAAGCGGTATTGCTTCCTTATTATTGCCCGATGGTAGAACAACACACTTTCGATTTATAATTCCATTTGAACTTACAGAGGATTCTTTTTGTAAAATAAATCCAGATGGTGAGTTGGCTAGCTTAATAAGAAAAACCTCTTTAATAATTTGGGATGAAGCACCTATGGTCCATAAGCATGCATTTGAAGCTTTAGATCGAACTTTGAAGTATTTATTAAGGTGTGGAAATTCAACCATCTCAAATATTCCATTTGGAGGGAAAGTTATTGTCTTTGGAGGAGATTTTAGACAGATTCTACATGTTGTTCCGGGTGGCAGTAGACAGAACATTGTAAATACTTCTTTGAGTTCTTCATATTTATGGCAACATTGCAAAGTCCATAGATTAACAAAAAACATGAGGCTAACTGTTGGAAGGGATCAATCTGATATACGAAAAATAAGAGATTTTGCAAATTGGCTATTGGATATAGGAGAAGGCAAACTTGGTGGCCCGAATGATGGTGAAACGATTATCGATATTCCTGATGATATTCTCATTAATGATTCACATGATCCTATAGGTTCCTTAATTGAGTTTGTATATCCGTCAATTTTGGAGAACTTCAGTAACACAAATTATTTCCAAGAAAGAGCGATACTTGCTCCAAAAAATGAAGTTGTTCAGGAAATAAATGACTGTTTGCTTAACAAGTTTCCAGGAGATGAAGTTGAATATTTAAGTTCAGACAGCATATGTGAATCTGAATTTGTCCATGATCAGTTTGATACAAATTTATACTCTCCTGATGTATTAAATGGTCTCAAAGTATCCGGTTTACCAAATCATAAGTTAGTTTTAAAAATTGGTGTTCCAGTAATGTTACTGAGAAATATTGATCAGAAAAACGACTTATGTAATGACACAAGACTACATGTGTTATCATTGGGCAAACGTGTTATTGAGGCACGTATAATAACTGGAACTAATATTGGAAACCAGACTTTTATTCCAAGAATGTCTTTAACTCCATCAGAAAAAAAGATTCCCTTCAAATTCACAAGAAGACAGTTTCCTTTGGCCATATGTTTTGCAATGACTATTAATAAAAGTCAAAGACAGTCGTTATCAAATGTTGGTTTGTTTCTCAAAGATCCAGTTTTTTCACATGGACAATTGTATGTTGCCTTATCTAGAGTTCAAAGCAGAGAAGGATTAAAATTATTAATTTTAGATAAAGATGGCAAAGTCACAAATAAAACTTCCAATGTTGTTTATAAGGAAGTTTTTCAAAATTTGTAGCCAACTTTTTTGTAGCATATTTTATTCATTTTTAACAAATCACACTTAATCCATCATATTACTTTATTTATTTATAATTATGTTTTGTTTATTTTATGTTAATTTCATTACACACACCGGTAATGCATCATCTGCGTATGTCCAACAAGAATCATATACCAAAAATAAGGGTTTTCAAAAAACTTCATTTCTAATTAAATACTTATGATTTAGTTTGTAATTAAATACTTACAAATCAAAAAGTTTTTGAAAAATTCAATATTACAATTCATAAGTTGTCAAAATTAATGAAATTTTATTTTATTATTTAAAATTTGTAGTTAAATACTTACCATTTATTGTGTAATTAAATGCTTACAAATCAAAAACTTATTAAAAAAATACAATATAAGTTTTCTAATTTAATGGTATATTATTTATTACATAATTAAATTTTAAATTCTATTTAACATTAACACCCGTAGGTTCCACGGGTTTTCACATAGTATATATATATATATATATATATATATATATATATATATATATATATATATATTATTGGATAAACCAACTTTTTAAATCTAAAATGCTTTAAATGCTATGGTTGTTATTTACCAGGTTGGCGTAATTTTTAGATATTTTGAACACCACAAATTCTTGATATTCGAAGTGACTTTTGGAGTTTTAGTTATGCTATTTTTGGTAGGCATCAAAAAAAAAAAAAAAAAAAAAAAAAAAAAAAAAAAAAAAAGGAATGAACACTTTAAATCGAAGATTCGGCGACTTTCTCTAAGATAAAAATTCGAAATAAAACAGCAAAACTTGCCGCAAATTTCCATAATCTGTCAACAGCGGGCCCCAAAAGGAAACCCCATTCATATTTCAGAGTCAGAGTCATCGATCTGACACTGAGACACTGCGTGCTTTTGTCTTCGGTCTTCCATGTTACTTTTCTTTCTTCACCCAGCCTAAAAAGTGCAGATCCCTATAATTCTTTTACAGATTGATAGTGTGTGTATGTGTGTGTTTATGCAATGCCCTCAAAATTTTGGTGGATTTTCTTGAATTCTTTTGTGGGTTTGTTTAATTTTGCTTTTGCAGGAGACCCATTTGTGTATTATGACTGGACAATCTCTTACATCACAGCATCACCGCTTGGCGTTAAACAACAGGTTTTGTTTCTGTTATCTTCTGCGATTCTCAAACTTATTTGCTCTTTTTTCTTAATTTTTTACTCGAATTCATGATCATATGCAAATTTTTGTGATTAGGGTTGTCGGTGTTTTAAAAAATGATTGCTTTTAGTAGATTATGAAGATTATACTCTGTAAAGTACTAATTTAGGGAATGATTTATGCAATGTAATGATAAAAAAACAGAGGGTTTACGGTATAATTCAAGAAAGTAGGGTTCTTTAATTTGGGAAAAAGTTTAATTGTTAATAATTAGGCGGCTGATGTTGGCTCGACTCATGTGTAGGTGATTGCAATAGATGGGCAATTTCCGGGACCAATTTTGGAAGGAACAACAAATTGGAACGTTGTTGTCAATGTAAAGAACGATCTTGATGAACCCGTGCTTCTCACATGGTATAATTTCATGACTACGAAATCTGATTCATTTAACACCATTATGATTCTTGGAGAAAGGGGAATTATACTAGTTTTGATTACAGGAATGGAATCCAACATAGAAGGAACTCATGGCAAGATGGTGTGTTGGGGACAAATTGTCCTATTCCTGCTGGATGGAATTGGACATATGAGTTTCAAGTTAAGGATCAGATTGGTAGTTTTTTCTACTTCCCTTCAACAAATTTCCAAAGAGCTGCAGGCGGATATGGAGGAATCACCATTAACAACAGAGACGTTATTCCTGTACCCTTCGGTGCTCCTGATGGAGACATTACACTTGTCATCGGGGACTGGTTTATAAAGAGTCATAAGGTCAGCATATTTTCAATTTTTATTTGTTCTAAATCACCAAAAAAGCTGCATTCTAGGATTTGTTTTCCTGAACAGGATCTTAGGAAAGATATTGAAAAAGGGGTTGATCTTGGATCTCCTGATGGTATTTTGTTCAATGGGCTAGGTCCTTATCGATATGATAGTAGCATCGTTCCTGATGGAATTGCATACCAGGTGATAAATGTCGAACCAGGTAATTTCTTGAGGTTCTTTTAGCATAAAATTTGAAAGTTTTAAATCATCATGTTTTCGCTCGTTATATATTATGTCATCTGTTATTTTTTTTTACTTGATTATTAACAGGAAAAACATACCGTTTTCGTGTACACAATGTTGGTACCTCAACAAGTCTAAACTTGAGAATCCAAAACCATAACTTGCTTCTTGTAGAAACCGAAGGTTCATACACAGTCCAACAGAATTATTCAAACATGGATATTCATGTTGGCCAATCGTATTCTTTCTTGGTGACTATGGATCAACCTGCAAGTAACGATTATTACATTGTTGCCAGTCCACGGTTTGTCAATTCAACAAAAGCTTCAGGAGTTGCAATTTTGCACTATTCAAATTCCCAAGCGCCCGCTTCAGGTCCTCTCCCGGATCTCCCTAACGAATCCGACCCGTCTTTCTCAATGACTCAAGCACGATCCATAAGGTTTTAATTATGATATTTATTTTCAATTCCAATATCCAGTTTAGGTTTTAATAAGGTTTTGCGAAAACACACCCCCTTGTTTATATCTTTTTCTTGATTATGTCATATTATTTTTTTTTATTTGAAGAATGAATGTTTCTGCGGGTGCGGCTCGTCCGAATCCACAAGGGTCTTTCAAGTATGGTGAGATTACAGTAACGGATGTATTTTTACTCCTGAATAAGCCACCTGAAATTATAGATGGAAAAAGGCGTACTACTCTTAATGGTATATCTTTCTTTGTTCCTTCAACACCATTGAAGCTTGCTCAACAGTATAATGTTCTTGGAATCTACAAGCTTGATTTCCCAAATAGACCAATGAATCGCCCTTCAATAATTGACACGTCTGTGATTAATGGGACATTCAAAGGATTTATTGAAATTATACTCCAAAATAATGATTCCACAGTTCAGAGCTACCATTTGGATGGCTATGCGTTTTTTGTAGTCGGGTATGTTTATCGTTTATACATTTATACAGTTATATAATAATATTATGATTTTTATGAATTTATAAGATATATGATTTCAATGATATTTGTATAAATGTTAGGATGGATTATGGAGTATGGACCGAAAACAGTAGAAATGTTTACAACAAGTGGGATGGGGTGGCTCGCAGTACTACTCAGGTAATCTCCACCTTTACAACGTTGCTATTTCTTGAATTTTTTATTTTTTTTTAGGTTTTTAATATTCTTTTACAGGTTTTCCCAGGAGCATGGACAGCTATTCTGGTTTATCTTGATAATGCGGGATTATGGAACCTAAGAGCACAAAACCTAGATTCATGGTACCTTGGACAAGAAGTTTATTTGAGTGTGGTTAATCCTGAGGTCACTGAAAAAACCGAGCTTTCTTTGCCTGAAAATACAATCTTTTGTGGAGTATTATCATCCTTGCAAAAGTAAGATATTTACACAAAAATCATTTTTCTAGAACTATCTTTTGATAAAAGAGGACAAGAAGGACATTCATGTCTTTTGCACAGACAAAAAATCGAGAGTGCGTCCCTCAGTCCCTGTCCCTGTCCAATCTTGTTTTATCTTTTTGGGTTGGCCCATTCACATTGGTCTCGGTCCTGTCGAGTGCAAGTCAAACACAGTATAATATGGTCATGCGTAACAAATGGGGTTTAAAGGACAATCTTATCTTTTCTTTTATTTATTTATTTATTAATTTTTAAAATTGAATGCAGGGATCAGGCTCAAAGAGTTAAATTTTCAAGTGCACCTTCAGTTCCCACATTAATTACACGAATCTTTATTGCATTAATCATCACATTTGTTGGAATTTCTGTGAGGTGACACCATTCATGAGCCATGGTTGAACAGTCCAAACGTCATCAAGAACTCAAATTTTGACATATTTGTAGGAAAAAAATTAGATCAAATTGTTCCCATGAATACTGCTGACTTTATCTATTATTTCACCTGTAATTAGATTGTATCAGCTCATTTGTAAGTGAAAAGGCATAATTGCCCCCTGTAACCCTTTTGATGGTGGGAGTTGTACATTGTGCATCGGTATATGTATGGTCAGTTGCTTTCTGCTTTTCTATGTCATGTTAACTGCAATTTGAAGTCTTTGTATTTTTGATGATAAGATGATGGATCAAGAAAGCATATTGCAATCGTCATAGAGCAACAGAAAAAAGTTGATATCTTTTTGTAAAAGAAAAAATGATTTCAGAGGCCCAGGGTTCTTTAAGAGAAAAGCAACATCAATTTTTGAATATCATTTTCTTCTAGTGAATGTTTTTTTTTGAAAGGTTCTTCTAGTGAATGTTTAACGTGTATAGTTTGATATTTGTAGTAACTCCTACAAGTTGTCCTATATTTATATAAAATATGCCTTAGGTTTTGACCTGTTAAATAGGTTTAATACACACATAATTAATACTTGAGCATCTATTAATGTGGGATGAGTAAGAAAAGGAGAATGTGAGTTTTAAACACTTAACCTTCAAAAAAAGCAATAGAAACTACCTACTACGCTACATTGACAAAATTGCAAAAATGGTCCCTATGGTTGACAAATTTATGTGCTTTTGGTCAAAAACGAGGGTGTGACCGGTTGTTGATTCATGACCAAAAATGGTCCCTCACAAAATTGCAAAAATGGTCCCTATGTTTGATTCATGATTTTTATAAGGTTGCAAAAACGGTCCCTGTAGGTGGAAAGACGAAAATACCCTCGTCTTTATTGCAACTAACGGCATATATGGATGGAAGTTAGTGTGAGGGACCAAAAACAATAAAAGAATCCAGTTTTGGACCAGTGGTGCATCAAAGTTTCGTTTTAGACCAAAAACTCATAAATTTGCCAACCACATGGACCATTTTTGCATTTTTGTCTAACACATTATATAGGCATTGTGTTTCTTTTCTCTTTTAAATAACTTACTTTGTCTTTTCGTTTATTTTTCTTCAAACTTGATAAGAGAACATAAGTGAAGGATAACTTTGTCCCCCGAAATACATGCAAATGGGAAATAGATTACGACCAAAAGTTCAGATTTTTTTTTATTAACATTTTACGTGTAATTCTTAAATTCCCACTCTTGAAATTAGGCCAAAATTTGTTAGGGTCTTAAACGTACTTCTAAAATGATGGGAAAATCCAAACTGTGATAGCGATTTTTGGTTTCCCAGTTGAAGCATTTTGGTGGGATTATATGATAAGCTTTAACGATATTGGTCATCGAATATTTCTTATTTTTGCCAAAAGTACTTTTTTTGGAAATTTACTGGATTTTGCTAAAAAAATAGGTTTATGTTATCGCCAAAAATGGAGTTTCGAAACTTTGGTTTTAGCTCATATGATAAAAAAAGTTTCATTTTCAGACATATATGGATATTATTACATAAACTGAATTATTTTCCAAAAAGATTGTTGATTTATATGATAAAAGTAGCATTTTGGAAGTTTGTTATTGTCACTTAAACTTTATATTTGGTACTTTTACAAATTTGAGTTTGAATTCTTGTTGTTTAAATAACATGTGGTATCATACTTGTGACATCCCCATTTTCATGCTTTGTTTAAAAATCAGAGTAACATTTTAAATAAAAGTGTTGCGGAATTTGTTCCCAAAATAAAATATGATAAAGATTTATCAAAGCATTTCCGTAGAAATGTATTTCATTAAAAACCTCGGGATGTCATGTTCGATACAGATCAAAATCATAAACAGTATAATATAAGCCTTACTACATTTATTCATATCTACAAGCCTATATCCGTAATCTCTCATCCTAAACATCATATCTATGCTCGTGCACCACTACCTGTAATACAAGAAACTGAGTGGGTCAGGCTTGGGAGCCTGGTGAGCACATAGGGTTTTCAACCCACAATAAATAAGTTTATTAATTTCATCAACCAACAATAACCCGATTACCCGTTCCCGTTATCCTCACTTTACGTCCCTAAACACCTATCATAAGGGACCTAGCCTAAGGATCATCATCGGGATGGCACTACTGCTAAGGGGGTTCCTCGGCGATAAATGTCCTAAAGGCAACCATGAGGGTGATGGAGTACACCGGTGAACACATCGTTCACAAACACCTACAGGTTGCAAGCCTGCTAGCGTTCCACTGGACTGTCTAAAAGAGTCTGTGGTTGTCATCCATACTCCGCTAGATGACAGAATCAACAACAACAACATCGATGCCTCTCATCATTTTATCACACATCGTCTATTACATCTACCCATGTTTTACCCCAACATTTTGTAGATATAAAATACATATACAGTTTAAATCATTTAAAACATGTATAAAAATCTTTCATCAACATAGACAACAAGTATTCAGACAATATGCACACATAGCACGTAATTTATATTAAATACTTCATATCTATGTGTAAGATGAAAGTGACTATGCACTCACCTGAAAAGATGGTGACTCTACACTCGGATAGCGCTTCGTTACTCTTAAAACAATTTTCCTCGACAAAACAGCGGGTTTTTATTAAAAACCGGGCTTTGCTGGAGTAGCGTTTCCGAGCCGAAAGCTTTTCTTCTCGGAGCCGTCGGGCGCTCCGGGGCTTCCTTCTCGTGCTAGGGAGGTTCCCTAGACTTGGGAGGGGTTTAGGGAGGCTAGAGAGAAGTTAGAGAGAGAAATAAAGGCTTATGGTGTGAAGAAAATATGAAGAGTTCACCCTTTATTTATAGGGATTTTATAGTAAAGTAGCCCCTAAGTTTCGTCCGTATCTTCCGCGTACGAGCTCCGTTTTCTACGTTCTTTATATCTACGCGTTGGTATTTACGAGTACTACAACTTTTCATTTAGACCCTGTCGGCTAATTCTCATTCTATCTCAGATTTACAAAAACTGTATCGTATTTATCGCGCACGAAGAGTAGCGACTAAGCTTCGTCCATATCTTTCGCATACGAGCTCCGTTTCCGACGTTATTTATATCCACGCGTTGGTATTTACGAGTACTACAACTTTCATTTAGACCCCGTTCGCTAATTCTCATTCTATCTCAGATTTACAAAACTGTATCGAATTCGCCGCGCTCGAAAAGTAGAGACTAAGCTTCGTCCATAACTTTCGCATACGAGCTCCGTTTTTGATGTTATTTATATACACGCGTTGGCAAAAATAAAATCTACAACTTTCCTTTTTACTTCGTCGGCTAATTCTCGACCGATCTTAAATTTAACAGTAGGAGGTGATTACATTGTTAAATGTCCGCGTAAAATTCATAACTTTTACATACGGACTCCGTTTTCGTCTGTCTTTTTGTCGTTGAGTTCCTATTAATGAGATCTTCAACTCTCATTTAGGTCGCGTAAGCCAAAAACTGCTCGAACTAAAATTCGAGTTTCGGGTCGTGCACTGCTATGCCAAATCTTAGAAAAATCATAACTTCCTCATACGAAGTCAGATTTGGGCGTTCTTTATATCATCGGAATCCTTGTTTCGACCACCACCACTTTATGTAAAGATATCGGGTTTATCTCACACTTTAATTTTGACGCTTATTTTTATTCTTTATTAATTATACATTTATAATTAAGTATAAAGCATATAAATTCACATAATTCATATAATACTCAAATAATTCATTTTTATTACTTCAAAAAAAGTTACAATAGTTGACCTAGACTATTACATCATCTATTAATGCTTAGCCCCGAAACCCGGACGTTACAATACTCTATAACCAAAGCTTCAAGTTTGAATATTTGGTTTATTCTCTGGATAAACCACAATTTACCCTTTCACCCCCTCTCGTTTTTTTCCATGCCAACTTATCGATATGCCATTTTCTCTCCACCCCACTGATAGAAAATGATCACCTCTCACTCTCTCACCTTTTTTTTAATATTCCAATTAAATAATATATTAATATTATATCTTGTTGTAGAGAATAATTTTTAATATATAAATATGATTTAATAATAAATTAAACAAAATTAAAAAAAAAGTATGCTGTAGTGAAATTGTCTGGTGCGGGGTTTCACTGCACCACCTCTCACCCAATGAGTGTGGTGTTATCACTCCGTAGTGTTCACCTAGCCCACCTCACACTCGATAAAAGTATATTGTTAGGATTAAATTAAAGCTTATTAAATTCAAATAAACTCATTGACAAAAGACACCAGAGTTATCAAATATCATCGTCATAAAAGAATTTATAACTCTTTAACCAAAAAAACCTTATTCCATAGAGAAAATAATAGTAATTCATTATATTTTTAAACAAAAATTAATCCAATATGCATACATTAGAATGATGATTTTATGGAAAAGTATAAAACTAACAATTAACTATGGAGGAAACAAATCAAACGGGTCAAACAAGTCAAAATTTCTCTTATTCAATTCCTCACAACCATCCAAACTGTTTTTTGTAATCTAATTAACTATTTAGTAATACAATTTAATACAATTTTTGCAATTGTATTTAATAATCAACAATTTATAAAAATAAAACAAGCTTTAATTTGATACATCACCTTCCTTTCTAACACATAAATATAAACAATTTAATAGAAAAATCATTTAACATGTTACACACTCCAGCTAAACATGAGTTTATCGACTTTAAAACTTTACTCTTCAGACACGTATACATAGGTCAGTTGAATGCTACTGAATGGTTTTGATCCAAATACACTGAATACTAGACTGATTCAGAAGACAGCTCTGAATGGATCCAGATACCAGATATGTGCCGAATACGGAATACCGTATTTTTACTTGTACTTCGGTCCATCAAAAAGGGGCTGCCTTTGTGTGAATAGAGAAAGTCTCAAAAGTTGGTGGCTCTGTTGGAACCCACTCTTCCACAGTCCCCCTCTTATCCTTCACTTGCCTTGTAAGCGAACAACTGACAAATTTCACTCTCTTCTATGCTCCCATTTTATATTCAGCCCTCACTCCCACAGAAACTTCAAAACAGATTCAAGAACCCCCTTTTCTCTTTCTTGAATCCCCCAAATTATTATTTCTTAAATGTTCGAGATAATGAACTCAATCCACCTAATCTTATTGATTTGTCTCTCATTTACCATTTTAT